ACCCCTTTCCCCACAGATACATCCCCCAAACCATATATAGCCCCCTCCATCGCTCCTACGACCCCCCCTGAACCCCTCACACCCCGGGGTCCTCACTAGCACAGGGATTTGGGGACCTTAAGGAGCGATGTACCCCCCCCCGGCAGGGACGTGCTCCCCCAGCCAGGACAGACCTGGAGCACGATGGCTGGCACTGAGAAAATCATGGCCTCGTTGAAGACGGGGTTGGTGTCGTCCCTCTTCACCGCCGTCTTCTTCTTGCTGATCTTCCTCCCGTCCTGCAGCAGGTACACCTTGACGAAGGGGTCTGCCCGGGGTGGGGGGAGAGAGAAAACCAGGGGTCAGTCATGCGCTTCCCCTGCGATATGGAGAAAGTGAGGGAACCATCTCTGGTGGAGCTTCCTGGTGGGGTCTGTCCTCAACGGGAGCCGCTCCACCAATCCAGGTGGCAAGAACCCAGCGTAGGATAAATGAGGGTGAGAGCCCACCTCCAGCCCGCAGAAGACCAAGGGACCTTGTGCCCACCGGGATCCCCCGCTCACCTGCGGTGACTTTGCCATTGGTCCACACCAGGTTCTTGGCTTTGACCACCACCACCGTCAGGCGCTCGGCCGTGGGCAGGTAGCTCAGGGAGAGCAGGATCTCCCCCACTGTGTCCACTGCCTGCGGGACACAACAGCCCATCACCCAGTGACACCAGCCCGGCAGGGAGGAGAAAGCCCCCCAAAAAAACCTGGGGGGGAGATAGACCAACCACCCCAACTCACCTTGTTCATGTCCTGCAGGTAGAGCCAGGCGTTGAAGGGCCGGGTGGCCAGGTCCAGGTCGGAGAGCTTCAGCTCGGCCACGCCGGTGCTGACGTTCCTCTCGTCCTCGTCGATGCCGAAGACGGAGAAGCGCAGGCTGTTCTCCTCCAGCGCCGCCGGGTCCAGCGGGATGGAGAACCGCTCGTCGAAGGCCACGGCGTAGGCGCTCCGCTGGATCTGCCACGGGGAAAGGGGGGAATTACCTCAGTACCCCCCGGGCTCGGGGGCTGCACCCCAGATCTGCTCTGCTCCTCTACTGGGAACTGCCAGAACATGGGGCTTTGGGGCAGCGAGGGCAGAGCATCCCCCAGCCCCACAGAACCATCAGATTGCCCGGGCTGGGAGGGACCTTCCAGACCATTGAGTCCAAACATCAACCCACCACTGACCCATGTCCCTCAGCACCACGTCTGCCCGGCTTTGAAACCCCTCCAGGGATGGCGACTCCACCACTGCCCTGGGCAGCCTCTGCCAAGGCTTCACAACCCTTTCCAGGAAGAAATCATTCCCAATCTCCATCCTAAACCTCCCCTGGTGCAACTTGAGGCTGTTTCGAGACAAGTCTGTCTGTCTGCTCCTCCCTGTTCCTTGGGAGAAGACACCGACCCCCCCTGGCTACACCCTCCTTTCAGGGAGGTGGAGAGAGCGAGAAGGTCTCCCCTCAGCCTCCATTTCTCCAGGCTGAACACCCCCTGCTCCCTCAGCCTCTCCTCACAAGACTTGTTCTCCAGACCCCTCTCCACAGGGGACAAAAGCTCAGCACCTGGGGTAGGAAATAGGGGCCATGACCTGCCCTGTTGCCCATTAATTCTTTTAATTACAAACTGAAGGTTGCTCTGGTGCTCTCAGGTGCCAGCTCCACCACCCTGGGCTGCAGGACTCAGCCAAGGTGTAGCCCCCAGCCCTGCACAACCCCTCAACGTGCCAACGGGGACGATGCTGTTTCCCAGTCGCCGTCTCCACGTCTCACTGTTCCCCTGGAGCAAAGGCAGCAGCAGCTCCTGGGCCCCATCCTGCAGGTGCTGGTCACCACCCGCTCCCAAAGCGCCGCGGGGGCAACTGCTCCCAGATCATGGCTTTGGAGACTGTTTTTTTTCCTACTCCAGCCCTATTTCTTTCAGCATCCAAGGTACCACCCACAAATCAGGGATTTGTCCTGAAGGAAGCCTGGTGCTCCCACAGGATGGGAGCCGTGGCCTCGGATGGCCCCAAGCAAAGCGGAGCCACCGGCTCCCCCTCCCCATCCCCGTGGTGGGAAAGGGACCCCGCTGCAGGAGGGGGGCCCAGCCCTGAACCCCTCGGGCTTCATCACCCCCAGGGCGCCTGGACCCCCCTGCAATGGTGGGGAGACAGTTCATCCCATCCCAAGGACTCCCTCACGTCTGTCTGTCTGTCTGCTCCTCGGCATGCTCCATCCCGGGGATGAAGAAGATGGAGCTGCTCACGAGGTGGGACCTTCCACCACCCCCTTCCCAGGCTCTCCCATGGGATACAGTCCCCGGGGATCAAACACCTCCGGGGGAAAAGCAGGTTCGTGGGTATCTGCTTTACAGCAGCCAGCACTGTCTGTCTGTCTGTCTGTCTGCAGCCGACAACAGATTTGGGGATCTCTGGGTGGAACGTAGGACAGAAACGTTCTCTGCTACCCGAGGAGCAGAACAAGGCAGGGACTGCAAAGCATTAAAGGGGAAGAACCAAACGTGCCCCTGTGTCTCAGCTGGGAACAGCAAAAGAGGGTAAATAGCGCTGGTGAATTATAAATAATGATGCTAAATAATAAATATCTCCAGAGCATAAATAAAGAGCCCAGTCTTTGGATGGAAAAATGGTCCTAAAAGGGCACAGTGGAGATATCTGACAGGCAGGGGTTCTGTGCTCGCTGGAGCGGTTCCTCCCCCCCACGGAAAGGTTTCACTCGTGGGATGGAGCTTTCTGCTCCTTTCTGGAATATCCCAGTCAAACCAAACTGGCTGACCCCCAGCTTCACAAAAAGCAGCTGCTGAAGGAAAACGGAGGCTCCTGCTTTCTGAGAGCAGCTTTTGGGGCGCTTCCGGGGAGGTTTCTCCCCAAACCCAGCCCTGGTTCTGGACCCGCTGGTGCAGCGCCCGGACCCCCCTGTGCGGGGAGGGGAAGGGTCTCGGCTGCCGCGGGGGGGGAGTGACTCCGGGCACCGGCTCGGGCTCCATCAGGGTGAGGGGAGCGTGTGGGGACGCGGCACGATGCCAGCAGCGTGTGCCCAAAAAGCCAAAATCCCCAAA